TTTGGCATTATCTTTTATTCAACCTTAGCTGTTTTTTTGTTATTGAATGAAAAATCACAGAATTCACCATTCTTTTTTTCGTGAGCCGTTCTTTGAGGAAAACATTTCTTCTTTGACAATTGCAATGTGTGTGTAAGAATATATTACAACATATGTGTGATTTTTTTTATTTCTAGATGCGATGCATTTCAAGATATTGTTCAAAACTATGCAGAGTTTTACCAATTGCCAGATTACTTAACCGCTATTGCTACTACTATTGGATCTAACTGCGCTTATTAAATAAACTATGTTTGTATAACTTGTATCATTTTTTATTCAACGCTTAGCCTAATTGAAGCATTGTTTACTATGCTCGAAACAGGTTTCTAGAGTTGCACAGCAGCAAGGTGTTTATGCCTAACGTCCATTATGCCTAACGTCCGTATGCCTAACATCCGTATGCCTAACGTATTTATGCCTAATGGGGTGCACTCGTAAGCAGTGGTCATTGAGAAGCTAAGGACACATATGATAGCTTCTGTTCATTTCATTAAATATGGTTCACTTTCAATGTTATTACGTATATACTTGTTTTATCTAGCTAGAAAAAATTGTATTTCCATGAAACAAACTCAAATGATTTTTTTGTCATTTTGATTTTATTATTGTGATCAAGTGGGAGATTTATGGGTTCGTTACCCTACCTAGCCTAGCAATAGATTGGCTGATTGGGACCTGGATGCATCATCTGGATGGAAGATGAATTGGATGGAAAATACCATTTTCTCAATACTGGTGTGTATGTAAATTTCCTGTATGGACTATTAGAGTGATGCAAAATTTGAAATTTTTGCTCCACAATACTTGAACGATTTCAAATCGGATCCTGAATAACCTCTCAAATTTTGAACCCATTTGGTGAGAAACTGAGATGGCACAAACCATTTGATGTTTGTATGGGAATTACTATGGTAAAACCAAGATTTTTGTTCATGTCTATCGAATAATTCACCATATCGGTCTGCTTCAAAAACTTTCAACTGTACTTGTAGGAAATTTTCCCAGCTACAACTTTGCTGAAGACCACTTTTCGATTAAATGCAAAAGATCGAAAGTTATCAATGGTTCAATGCACTGATGTCTTATGATCATGCTCAATCAACTGCTCAGCAGGCAACATTGGTGTTTCTGGGGCGTTGATTAGGACACAAATATCATGGCTACTATGTCACACTGCAAAATACAGTGTTGCCTACAGAGCAGCTGCTTGATCTTGTCATAAGTTTACCAATTTCTTAAATAATTAATAACTTTTTGTTGTCTCGTTTTACATAGAAACAATCTTCAGCAAAGTTGTAGCTGAGAAAATTTTCTATAAGAATGGTTATCGAACTGTTTTGCAGCTACATATGGAAAAAGACTAGAAGGCAATGAACAAAAAGTTGAGATTTCCCATAGTAATTTACATGTAAACTTCAAATGGATTGTGCGAAGTCTATTTCTAACCAAATGAATTGTAACTTTTGGAGGCTAATCAGGACCCGATTTGAAACCATTTAAGCACTGTGGAGCGAAAAAGTCAAATTTTGCATCAGTCTAATGGGCTATACCTCGAGTTTCTGATCTTCAAGGAAATGTCTGTCATCAGCATGGTTGTTCAGGTGACCCAGGCCTTCCATATGATAAACTGCTTAATTTACGGCTCAGCTAGTCTAGTTAGCATAGGCACGGTATTACCCAGCTAGAGGCGGCGGGTTCAATTCCCGGTTAGGTCAAGGACATATTTTGGGTTGGAAATTTTCTGGATTTCCCTGGAAATAGAGTACCATTGTGCTTGCCACAGAATATATAAATTCAGGCATTGGTGTTGGCATAGAAACCTCTTCATTAATAACTGTGGAATTGCATCTAGAATCATTAGTTTAGAGCCGGCATAATGCTCGCTCCAGAAGCGTAAAAATACCACAAGAAGAAGATGTCACTACCCGGTACTAGTTTGCAGGTGAACATAATTTATAAGCTATATTATTATTATTATTATTATCTCTATTTAGGAGATTTTCAGCCGCAGGCTGGTTCATCTCCGCTATAAGCTATATCTGAAGATCCTGGTTGTCTAGGAAGTCTCTGTCTCAGGCAAAGTATTTTAGGTAATCAAGTTTTTTTGAGTGTTCAGCAGATAAGTTCAGTGTTTTCTCATTACGTGGCGCTACATTTTATCAAATATATTATATTAAACATATGATCCACTCTTTCACTCAGCGGGTGAACCAAATTTTTAGCGATGGAAGCACTGCTGCGGCCAAAAAGTCTACCATTGTATTTGTTTAGCTTCACGAGGTTTAAAAAAAATGCAAATTGGTGTAATATTTTAAATGTATGCACTTCAGCATATTATTTTCATGTTTCATATAATTTTTTTTTAATGTAAATAGCTTGACTTTTATTTTTATAATAAATGCTATATTCGCGCCGCTTGGATGACTGTTGCTGACCGTTTTCAACACTAGATGGTGCGTGAAGCAATATTCTTATTACTAAACAGTCCAGCTTACGAAGTCGGTAATCATTTCCACCTCCTTCTCCCTCGCCCCATTCATAAAACTGTAAACCTCTACTAACCTCGAGACGAACACGAGTAATCGGTTCAATTCATTTAACTCTAGATTTAAGACATTAATTATGTATAACGCAAATAATAACTTGCTTCTGTAAAGTTAATTCGATTGAGCCTGTACAAATAAATTAATACAAAACATTTCTAAGTGTGTAGTATTAAAACAAACTAATTGATAAACTAGCCTAAAATTTCCCAAAAAGCTATAAAACGCTAAAATGTCTTAGGATACCACACCCTTGGGATGCATTACCGACTTCGGTCTTGTTTTACCGTACTTTCAACAACTGTCTCACTAAAATTTTCTTTCAAAACACCGCCAGCCTTATTTAAATATTCGAGTATTGCCATTGTGGTGAAGTTTTCCTTATTTTGAAGCCTTAAAACTAATGAATTAAAATGCCTAATTTTTACCGATCAGTTCAGCTGTTGAAAGTTTGGTAAACATTACCGAAGTCGATAATAATTTCTAAGTATGCGACTCATAATCTTTAATCACACCAAAATCAACAAAACGCCTAACTTTTATAATGATCTTAAAAAGAACATCGGCTCTCATAATAGTCTTGAAACGCCAAAAATGTCTCAGTTAAATAAAAATGGTAAAGGTTTTCCAAACCGGCTTTAAAATATGAAAATAACCATGAACTCTCCAATATAGCCTGAAAACACCAAAATAGTCCTGAAATGAAATGATAGAATAACCCTGAACACCTAAAACCACTTTAAATATTGCCCAATTTAACAATTTATTTAAAAAACGGCTTTGGTATTTGAAAGTAATTTTGCAACGTTAAAATAAGATGTTGAACGTCTTCGGGCTCCCCCTCCGAGACCCTATCTCAAGCTTAACGCTAACAACGCTCATTTTCTGCTACACATTACATTTTAGAGCATCCGTTGAACAGGTTTGCGAATTTTCATGAGACAACCACCCCTCTTCCCCTTTTTTCCTTCATTATAGAGGTTTTCAGCAATAGACTAGTTAATCTCTTTACAAGCCTGAATTTCTGTGACTTACCTAAGATCAGCCCACGACCCACCGGTGAGTCAGGACCCATAGGTTGAGAAACACTGTAATAACGCTATAACATTAAATTTCAATGGCACAAAATAACAAGTAGCACTCGTTTTGGATGTTCATTTTGGCGTTTTCGTTGTTATCAAGCGAATATGTGATTCACAACATTAATAGTAATATATTTAACAAAAATCTGAACAGTTTTTTTTCTATTCAAATGTTTATTATTTGTATGATATATATTATTTTCCGTCTTTCTCCGGTAGCCATCTTCCCCCGTCCTTCCCTACATGCACTGAAAAAGATGTTACGCGTAACTTTGCTGAGCACTACGCTCTCTCTAAATAATGTGTAATAAATTGAATCACTTTTCTACATACCTCTTTGCCTTCTCTAGCGATACGTAATTTATGAACATACCCTAACTGTTCTTAAAAAAAAACTAGTAATACAACATGCTATTCAGCATAAGACATTATAATAACTCGATTTCAGTAAAACTCAATACACCTAAAGCAAACCCCACACGCATCAATATATTGACGCGAAGGGGAGTTATTGACAATAATATTGATGATGTGAATTCAGAAATATTGTCAATCTCGATATATTGGCGTCAATATAGAATGTCATGTCGATTATTGTCAATAAAAGTAATCGTGTAGGGTCCACTTAACGGTAGACCTATCAAACGAATGAGTCATCAAATAAATCCCCCGATTACACAATCTTCAACGAGACCTGCAACTCCCGGTAGCACCGACTACTAGGGTTATCGGTTTCATACGCCTTCTTGCAAATAAACTCCGAGAAAGAAAAGAAAACCCTCACATCATCAGAAATCACACACGCGCCCTCATAACTTAACAAACGTTTATGATGCGGCTCAAGTTCAAAAGTCGTGACTTTTACACGCAACCTCCCGGAGAACATGAAGACGAACCGGTACGTCATCACTCTGCGCTCATTTACTCCGAACAGTGCCGTTGTCTGGCTCATCACCGTCTCTGTTTGCCCAACCCGGCGACGAAGATCATTAACCACTGACGGCAGCGCTTTGTAGCACCAAGAGCAGCAGCAATGTATGGGCCCTTCCACCCAACGCAACGCATTGCATCTCGTGTCAGAGTAATAATCATATGTAAAATAATAGTCGGTTTATGAATAATAAAAGCGGTGGGTGTCTTCGTGTTGGTGGTGGTACTTAGCAAGAACAAATAGCACTTTGCATTGTATTCTAATGGGGGTTCAATTTCTCATGAATATGCACACGCGAGCAACACACTTGAAGGTTCGATTTCTTGCACTTGAATGTCACTTCTTACAGCACCTAAATGGGCAATCTCCCACTAAATCGGATCGGATTTTCACGAAACTCACCTGTTCACGGAAGATCCGCTTGAATCCATCGACGGTGTGCTTTTCCTCGCCGAAGATGGAACTCAGCTCCGAAATCAACAGCCAACGGCGCTTGTCGCGTTTCACTTCCAGTTCCATAGCACTGACGACCGGCGGCATGAATTCGGCGCTGCTCAAAACAACACTTTTCTCGATTTTGTCACTATCGGCCAAATTATTCTTCTTCCCACCAGGCGCCAAAGCTGCATCCACCAAATCACGTTGGGTCTTCAGATCATTCACCAACCCGGCGGAAATCGGGTCGAAGGTCGTTGGTGCTTTCGAAACTGGGTCACTGGGTTTCAAGATCGAAGCCGGCGGCTTCGATTCAAGGTTAGCAGTTTCACTTTCATCCGGACCGTGGATCGAGGAACGGCGTTCATTCGGAAATACATCCGAATTGGCCAGCGGAGTCATCACCGGAGGCGATGGATCCATTTGGTGCAGGTTGTTCAGATAGGAATCATTCTTCTGCAGCACGAACACAAACGGGTTTACGTCACAGTGGGACAGTTTGACACTTTCACTTTTCTGGGTCAAGGTCGCATCGGGTGGCGGAGTCCCGGAGGAGGTCCCCGGGGTCTCCTGCGGGAGTTCATCCGAGAAGGACACCTTTTTCGGAGCCTTATGAGGCAGCTGGGGCGATGTAGAACGAGAATCGGATAGTTTTACGGTTTCACTTTCGCTTTCGCTGGACACGGTCAGGCTGTGTCGCTTGGGGACTTCCGAGCTGGTCGATGGGACTTCCATGATGGCGTGCGATATTCGGCGGTACACTTGATCTACTTTTTGAAAGATCCTTGCATGATTTTCTCACTGGGACACGTTTTTCTAGGAATTCCTTGCGCCGTAACCTTACTTGAACCTTCTTCTAAATAATCACTATGGTCATCAAACGATTCTCCAATTTGGTCAAATTCCACTGTCAGTTATCCAAATCTTCTTCGAAAGATCCTCCAAGTATTCCAAATCACCAACGATAGAACACCGAAAAAAAAAAATCCACTCCACGTGAGGCCACCACACTCGACAAACACCAAACGCTCAAGACACAGAGACGATCACGGAGAGGCACACGGTTTAAGGCTCGTAACGCTAGCAGATCCGAAACAGAACTGACTGGTGCCCAAAAGGGAGATACACTCTGTGGTGCCAAGCAGTCAACCAACCAACATCGAACTCCAACAACTTCGCGTGTGCTTCATTCGCATGCGTTACGTTTTCGATCCAAGGCGGCGGCTGAGTTCATGCAGCATCCGATCTGAGGCGGCTGCGAGAAAACCAACAACGATGGACCAATCACCACCGGGCAGCAGCAAGTTCGATCGTGGCTTTATGCTGCCTTTCGATCTTCGTGTGGCCAGCGATATGGTTGTTGATCGAGAAATTCATTCAATCGCCGCTTACAGGGTAAGTTCATTTCTCTTTTTTACTCGAAGCAACCAAACATATCTCACTGTTTGACTTTTAATTTAAATGACGATTAATAATCAAAACGGCTTTATTTTTCCGATCCGTTCATACGGGAACCAAAGAAGACGAGATAAGCATTTCGGTTCTGAGATGGAAGGTGATCGTTTGGTTATCAAATTTATATCCGGCGCGGTGCAAATTGAATGTGACACATCATCATCGTATCAAGCTGCTGGCTGGTGGCATGGGAACGGAAATCGCGGTCATACGAGATTTTCGGTTGGCCGATCGGGGAGAATGGATGTTTGGAGAATGGGTTTTGTGTTTGGATTCGAAGGGTAGGAAGGTTGAGCAGGTTGTTTTGTGCATGTTTGGAAGTGGTTGGATGTGGCTGGGATAAGAGACGATGATCGTTGAGCGGATGTTATTGGGTGCATATCGTGCCCTTCGAAAATCATGACATGTGTCGTGTCGTTTTAGGTGTTGCAATGGTATCAAATTGGAATTGGGTTTTTCGAGGTCGAACTGAAACACGAAATGTCTGAGATACTTTGGGACTGTTATCAAACTGTTTGTTTTTTTATATTCTGCATTTAAATTTTGACTCATTTGGTACAGCTGAAACTTGAAAAAGCAATGCAATATGTATGCAGCCAGACATATTGTTAAGGATAAAGTAATATGTTTAGCAGTAAAGGTAAGTGGTATTTTTTTCCCTTTATTAACGAGACTTTCAGCCTTAGGTTCGTAAGTGGTATACACATTTCAAAACTTCGGAAAAGTTCCTGATTTTCCACCTACATTCTGAAATAAATCAAAGTAAATATTGGATGGATACACGGTGTCTCTGTTGGAACTACACACTTAGAAATACCTAATTTTACTAGTGATGGAATCCATCTTTGACATAAAGGATGAGACGTAAACAGACATGTCATGTAAAACTAAGTGCTCCAAGACTGAAAAATTTGTTACTCGACGAAAAGAACGTTTAATTGAGCTGAATTTCGCGTATATTATGACTAAATTTTATGTAAAAATTGACACTCGTATATGTCAGTCGCAGGGCACCTAAATTTACATGATTGTTTTTCTAAGTGTGTACATTTAATCCAAAAATATAACAATTTAATAGAGATTAATATTTCCTTAATTTTGACACTACTAGTTGATGAAATTGCCTTTTTGTATGGAAAGTAAATCCAACCGGGAAATGTAAGATTTTATCGCAGATTTGCATTAAAAGCATGTAGAAATTGCAATGTTTCACCGCATGAACAGATTCTGTAAAGTTGTTGCCGGAAGCGTTTTTTATAAATGGTTTTGTTATTTCTGTAAGGTAGTTTTTTTTTAATAAAGTTTGTTTCGCAAATTCATTGCGGCTAGAAAATCATCTCGTGCGGGATTTATACGAAAATATTCATTTCGGAAAAACAACTATCTTGAACGCTGCAGTCCATCGTAAGAACAATCATTTCATTTGCTGTTAGAAAAGCTGCAGAGGATATATGAAATCCACCGTTATAGCAAATTTGTTTTTGATTCAGTTCCAACCTGGAACGGGTATCAAAATTGGCTCGGCTTGTTGTCTGTCAAACGTCAGATTTGTTTATATGGGATAAAACAATGTATGAGATTGAATTACATTCAGTTTAATCCGAAAGCTGGTTAAAAAATGCCATATTTTCATATTTTGATTAAATATTGTCTAAATTGGTTTTAGGTCGATGGACATAAGGTTGAAGGGAAAAACAGGTCGAATGGACAACATTTTGAATTTAGCATAAAGGGACAACAGGTTGAAGTGTCTGAAACTTAAATTTCCTTAGTTGATGATGCTTATCGTCAAATATCAGTTTTAAAGTGAACATTTTATACGATAGATGAGGAGATAAAAGTATAGAGTGGATAGTTCCATTATAGTACGACAGTGTGAAAATTGGATATAGAAAGTAGAAAGCGAGGAAAGGACAATTTCGAGGAAGATACAAATCGGGTAGAGCACCCCCTTTACCAAACTCATCCCGTTGATTAGGGTTGGTGAGGTGTGACCCCCCCCCCCACCCGCCATCACTGGCAAAAGAGATGATCGCCGATTTGCTCGTTTACCTCCGATGTGTGGAAACAATTACATGGGTTGTTTCGCACTCAAGTCGCCATTTGACGTAAGCGCCTAGTCGATAGGTTTTTGAAATTGAACGTCAGATGGCGACACTCGATAGAACTGTTGAAACAATCGATAGAACTATGTCAATCTATCCAGCAGGACACTTTTCACAAAAGTTGATAAAAGTATGTTTTTCGTAGTGTACCAACAACGTACCTTGCAAATTCATTATTTTATGGAGTCCTGCTGAATAGACAGGTACGTTAAACCTGTGTGTGTGTGTGTGTGTGTGTGTGTGTGTGTGTGTGTGTGTGTGTGTGTGTGTGTGTGTGTGTTCAATCTAACCCTCACTGGCCGGCAGTGTTACTATGGAAGAACTCTCTCTACAATGTCGCATTTATGGTCATTGTAGACAGCTTTAGTCCTGGAGTTAGAAGGTGATAGCTCTATTGCAGATCCAGCAACCCATTTCAGCATGTCTGGAGAGTCACGCCCATTCCGAGGTTACTTTCACTTAAAATAAGCCCCGCATGTATGCATCACCGTTATTAAATGGATATTGGTATTACATACACGCTTCCAGGTTCGAAAATATATTTTTTTCAAACCTGGCATGTATTTAGTTTAATTTTGATATATTTTTTTTAATAATTGGAAAGCTCACACCATCTTCTGCTTTTCCGCCGTCGTTGATTACTTATTTTGGAATCCCTTAGACTTTTTCTCTAACGGTTCGTATTTCATTCCGTGCTTCACCGGCAATTTCCTTCCGTAGATCGTCGTTGATTGGTTCTAATATGATTCCGCCTTTTTTGGTCAGTTTCATTGAATTGAAATGAATTGGCATGGTGATCTGGGACGAGGCTCACGTCCAAAGTCGCTGTTCCACCGAGCGATCCGTGTGCGAAAACAGAATGAAAGAAATTCGAAAGGGATCAGTTTCATGAAGTGACAGTTTCATCAGATTCCCCAACTAACCATAGTCAAGCAAAGTAAGAATATACAAGCTATATTGCGACTATATGGTTACTTGGGTACTCATATGGCCGTCAGAATGGTTCATCGGTTGCGAAGTGAAATATTTCTCAAAGTGATGCGTTACATTTATCAATGTTTTGATTTTATCCTAAAGTAACCTCCATGTTATTTCACAGACAAGCAGACAAAACACATTGACCATTTATCATTGTAAACCCTATCGCCATCTGTCGTATATACTTTCATGGGCAATACACTCAACAGATGGTTGTAGTATGTAAACGTCGAACGCTAGGGAATTGATTATGTGCACCACAAGTGGCGGTACTACCAACTAAGAAACAATTAAATTGACCGTTAAAAACGATTTCTATGAAGGTTTTAAGAGTGTTATGTCTGCTTGTCTGTGGTCATACCTTCACTATCGCAACTTCGGGTAATCTGCGAAAGTATTTGCATTTTTCTCAGGCACTTTTGATCGAACTGTAATTACTCTCTCATACTCGAAATGTGCCACGACCAAATTGGCACAACGACGCCCTATACGCTCTCTGACCGAAGCGCAGGGATAGACAGGTACGTTAAACCTGTACCCATACAGATTATTTTTGGAATTTGTGAAAGATTTAATCCTCAGTAGTTCACGA